CATAAACTCTCATAGGCCACACAAGTCAGCTCCCTCTGTTGTACAACTGGTTCCATAAGCAGCACCATAAAGAATGAGGCTTCGAAGGTAGAAGAGAGGTAGCTGAGCCTGCCAGGATGGAGGCTGCCCAGGTGGGCACTTGCAGCTCCAGCCTTATCTACAGCCAGGCAGCAGACATTGGGGGGTGTTATGGTTTGAGTCTAGGTGTTCCCTCAAAGCCTCATGTGATCATAGGCTTGATCTAGAGTGTGTGAAGCTGGAATTGACTCATGATGCAATGCTAGGCTCAAGGGTACTAGGATTAAGGGTGTGAGTGCTACCCGCCCCAAGTGGTCTGAATAAAATAGAGAGGGCAGGGAGACACTGTTAAATTCCTCTTACTACCTTTGCTACCTTGTGTGCTCCATGTTGTTTCTCCTCTGCAGTGCTTGTTTGCCATCCCACCTTTGGAGCCAGCCAATTAAGAACTGAAACCTCTACGAACTGTAAGCCACATAAACTCCTTCCCTTTTAACTCTGGGTGTCAGATATTTTGTCTCAGCAGTGAGAGAAAAGTAACACAGGGGGCCTGGCTCAGAGTTACTCCACCTCCCCAAGACCAGCTGGGGCCCTGGCCAGGACTTGCCATTGTTGACCAACTGCCAGGCAAAGTACAACTGTCCTGGGCACTGCAGAGGGCAGGGGCTTAGACTGAGCTGGTGGTGTGGATGCAGGCAGCAGAGCCTTGGACAGCATAGTCTGTTGGCAGGATCACAGTTTCCTGAGTGACGCCTACCTCAATGCCTGCGACAGAATCCTCACCGGCCTCCCCAAGAGGCTACAGGTGAAATGTGCACAGCCCATTCGCCCAGGTGGCCCTCAAAAGGACATCTCTGGATAGGGTGGTTCCACCCTACAGGCTAGAGGCCTCAGTCCCACCTAACTCCCTAGCCCTCCTTGCTCTCATGCCAGGGGCAAGCACAGTGGTGGAGAGTCCCTCTGCTGTTATGGTGTGCCATGGACCTGGGGGTACAGGGGAAGAAACTCACCCAGAGCCCATGCCTCTGTACCACTTGCACATGCCCTTCTGGCTCTTGGGGTCCTTTGTCTCACCTGGGTCCTTGGGACAGGGACCCTCACCTGACCCCCACCTCAATTTCCCTCAGACCTGGCTGGGCCTTGAAGTAGGATAGCAGTGGCTGGGGATGGCTTCCTGGTCCTTAAGTTGCAGCCACTGGTCTCACCCTGCCTCCCACAAGCCTCCACCTAAACTCTGAGGCTTCCTTTTCTTCATGGAACAAACCCTGAGGTGCTGGTCACCCAGCTCTAGGGCATGGAGAGCACGGGCCCAGATTTGGTTCCTGACTCAGGGCTCACAATGGCTCAGGGAGGAACTCACATCCCTGAGTCCCTGGGAGAGTAGGCCCAGGGCTGAGAACACGGGAGAACAGTTTGTTTTCTCAAGTTCAAGAACAAGCTGGTTCCATGAATCTCTCAGGCTCTCACCCAGGAAAGCTGTCAACACTCATGCCCTTGTGCCCAGCTGCTCAAAGGAAGCTTGGGTAGGATATCCTAATGTGTCACCTGAGTTCAAAGTGTCCAGATTTTATCACTTCTCAGAAGTTGCTTTCTTCCTTTCTTCCACAGTATTCTTAATACCTTCTCTAACTTTAAGTCAGAAATTAATAACAAAAGGACTGGGGATTTAGTTCAGAGGTGCCATGCCTGCCTCGCAAGCGGAAGGTCCTGAGTTTGATCCCCAGTACCAAAAAAAAAAAAAAAAAGAAATTAATTACAAAAATGATAAACACAATCTTCCTACACAGATGTGACTCTAAAAGATATTTCAAATGAACACGTTTCTCGATTTTTCTTTTTTTTTATACCTAGAATTGAACTCAGGTCCTTGAGACTGTGAGGGAGGTGGTGGTCTCAAATGTTTTTTAAAGATGAGGAAAATCCTACTTTTGTTTGGGCTGCAGTGAAGGTTGGTAGTAGAGAGAAATTTATATCCTCACACATTTATATCAAAGAAGGATTAAGGCTATTATTCTACTGAGAGATTTGTATTTAACTATTAATTTTGAAATAATTTCAGATTTATAAAAATGATAAAAATTATGAGAATTATTCTATATCTTTGTTACTGTGTGATGAATTTAACAGGTATAAACTGAGCTCTTGTGTACAAGGAGCAAGGAACCACAAGCTCATACTTGATGACAAATGTAAAGGAGCTGCATTTATTGAAGACCACAGGAAGTGCTAAAGGCAAGAAATATATGGCACAAATAAAAAGTGGTGCTGGGGTGACAGGAAAGCAAAAGCACTGCACACAAAATAGAGCACACAGAAACAGCCCCCAAATAAATCAGGCTTTGGGATTTTAAAGGATGTTAATCTCAGCCCGGGTGCCTTCCCTGAGTCTCTAGGAATGACTGACAGGAGTGATTGACAGGGGCTGTGTCATCTCAGGCTCTCAACACACATGCCTGCCCCAGAATCCTCTCTGATCTTAATTACATGCATGAGATGTAGTGTCTATTCATGAACCCTTAATAAAGGTGGGGTAGGGGAAAGGTGACTGAGGGTCAGGCTAGAGATCCAACAGGCATGTGCTCTCACCTAAAACATCAGATTACCTGGGTTTTTACTATGTGATTCTCTATCTCTCTTAGGACAATGGAAAGAGGGATGGCACTGTTTTCATTTAGAACAGCAATGACAAAAAAATGTATCTAGGCATGATGACACACACCTGTAATCCCAGTCCTCTGGGAAGCTGGGGTCTGAGGATGAAAGTTTGAGCTGAGTCTGGGCAACTTAGTGACTTAGTGAGACCCTGCTTTAAAATTAAAAAGGGGAGGGCAGGGGGCTGTAACTCTGTATGAAAGCCCTAAATGAATGTTCGTACAAAGGTTCTGTATGAACAAAAAAAATAAAAAAGAAAAGGTGTGTGTGTGTGTGTGTGTGTGTGCACATGTGTGTGTGTGTGGAGAGAGAGAGAGAGAGAGAGGAAGAAGGGGAGATGGGGAGGGGGAGGGGAGAGGAGAGTGGAAAGAGAGGAGGAAGAGAGAAACAAGCCCGGAGCCTGAAATGCATATCACTAAGTGAAACAAGCCAGTCTGAACAGGCTACAGACTATGTTACTCCAACTCTATTTCATTCTGGAAAGGGCAAAGTCAAGCAGATAGTTACCAGGGGCTGGTGAGGGAGGAGGATGAACAGGTGGAGCTCAAGATTTTCTAAAGCAGTGAAGTAGTTCTGTAGGATTGAGTAACAGTGGGTTCAAGACACAATGCGTCTGTCAAAACACATGGAACTGTATAACACAGAGTGGATTTTATGTGATCATAGGGTAAATAAGGTAAATTTTATTTGCCTTTATTCTTTGTGTGTGTGTGGTACTGAGGATTGAGCCCAGTGCCTCATGCATGCCAATCAAGTGCTTTACCACTGAGATATGGCCCCAACCCTGTTCTTATGATAAAGAAAAATAGGGTTCTGTCAGCCAAAGTAAACGATCTTACAGCTGTCTGTTTTTTGGCCTGTCTGTGTCTACGTAAGCTGAGCCACCTGCCAGAATATTTGCATGGTCTTTCTGCTCTGACCTGCTCTGTCTCGCTGGGTTCAGACCCAAGATGGGCTGCAGCTTCATGGGGCCCACATATGTCTCCAGTCCCCAGATACTGGGAAAGGGCCCTGGCCCAAGCGTGATTGGAACCGTGCTGGGAATTTCTATAGGTCTGAGGAACTCAGGAAGCTGAGTGGCCGGAGGAGAAGCAGCAGTCCCACTGGAGGGCAGGCTGTGTCCCTTCACATGTCCCTGGCTGTCCCTTTGACTTCTCAGGTCCCTAGTCCAGTCCTCACTAGCATGTGCTCACTACCCTAAAGCTCCTTTCTCAGTCTTGGCCACTGGGTCCTCACCCATCTTCATCTGTCCTTCACTCACTCCGTTTTACCCACTCTTTCAGCCTTCTCTGATTTCAGCTGGAATATTGTCCTGAGGGGCCAAAGGAGGGACCAAGGTCCCTAGCTCCAAAAGGCAGAGGGACAGGTACAAGGGCTATGGGGGATCTTGAGCCAGCACAGCATCCAGGTTATACTTACGCATTTCCAGCAGTCTACCTCACCACAGATAGACAGGTCCCTCAGCATCCTTGCCCCCTGGAACCTCGAGACCCAGAGATTCCAGAAGCCCCAACCCCAAACTGTGCTGCAGTGTGCAGAGTGGGGGTTGATGGTGAAACTTGGAGTGAAAGTTCATAACCAAAAGTGGAGGCAAGGGGCTCCTGCTTCAGCAAGGAATCCTGGGACTCTGGGGAGCCTCCTGCGAACAGGGGAGCCACAGCACAGGCTCATCCAGATCCACCGAGGAGTTGCTGGCCCACCTTCATCCATGAGGGAAATGACAGCTGAACAGTGGGGTTGTGGGATCATGGGGGCAGGTGAGGGAGAGGGCAGGGTTGCAGACCATAGGGGACAGGTAGGGGAACCGGGGAGAGGGAGGCTGCCTGGTCACAGGCCAGTCCCTGCCCTTATCAAGGGCCTTGCTCTTAGCACCCCTCTAACCCTCTTGGGCAGGCCCATCCTTGTGCCCAGTGGTGTCTGCTCAGCCTGGCAGCCCTGAGGGTCACATCAGTCCTCTAGTCCCTCCCTGGTTCTCATCTGTGTCCTCACTTGGTCACCTCCTGCTCATTCTTCCCAGGCCAGACCTGTGGCTCACATCCATTAGGCCTCACTTCTTGCAGCAAACAGTGACTATGTCATGTGGGACCCCCGCCTGGCCCTCTCCGTCATCCTCTTCTGAAGCTCTGCTCCTCCCCTCCTTATCTAAGCCTCGAACACCCCACGCATGTGCTGGGTCCCTACAGCAGAGGCAGTCCAGTCCTAGAGTGGCTGTGGGCAGCTGCATGGTTCTGAAAAAGTTCTGGCTGCAACACCCACAGAGGCTGTACGGAACCAGGAGAGGGATGAGTCTGTGGGAGGGGACAGTGAAGGAGCAGGAGCCAGGTCATGGGGCAATGAGTATTTATTGTCTCTGAGGAGTGAGGGGTGTGATCCCAGCACATGGTGGTGGCATCCCAGGGTTCTTGTTCCTGGGTTCCTTGGACAGTGGTGACTGAGATGGTGGAGCTAGAGTCTGGTCTTAGCAGCCCCTTCCTGTCCCTCATAGGGCCTAGGTAGCCTGCTCAGGGCAGGAACCTTCTGCAAGGAGCCCTTCCCCCAAACCAGAAAGGCCACCTTCTTCTCTCTGAGGAGCAGGGTCTGCTTTCCTGTCTTCCAGTGTGAAGGTGTCAGACAGGGGCATGGTGGGGTCTAGGGTGGAGGCCAAGGTGCCCTCCCTGACATCTCACGCAGGGAGCATTCTCTGGGTGTCCTGGAAGGGACAAAGGGTGGCAGCTGGAGGTGGAGAACAGGATGTGCCAGTGGCTGAGTGGGGATGCCAGGTGAGGGTGATCACAGCAGGGTCCAGAGGAAGCCCAGGCCCACTAGAGGCAGGAGCTCACCTGGCCTGACCCAGAGCCCCTCCTGCCTAGTGAATGCCTTGTTGCAGAGATTCTTGGAGCAGCAGTGCCTGGCAATGCTTGCCTGTATCCCAAAGTTGAGCATCCACTCATACCAGCTGTTGGAACTGGGACATCTGGGAGCACAGCGCTTGCTGATCTGAACTTTCATCCTTAAACCTGTGAAGATAGGAGACAGTAGATGGCCCCAGAGCCCCAGCTGAAGGGGAGAAGTGAGGGCTTTCCATTTGAGCAGTGGATCTGGCCCCACAAAAGGCACTGCAGACTACCTTGTGCTGCCTGTTCACCAGCGGGGCTGCCCATGGTCACCTCCAAAGGCACAATAAAGAGCTGGGGGCTCTTCTTTGCAGCCAGACAAGGCCTGGGCCACCTCCTGCCCAGGGGATGGGAATGAGGGGAAATGGAGTGAAGAGGGCAGAATGGAAAGGAACTGGTAGCCCCAGAGAACCTTTGGGATGCCCAGTGGGGCTGTTTGTCCAAAGTTGCAGCAGGGACTTCCTGAGAGATGTATTTCCAACAATCATGAAGCCATCATCCTAACCCTGCTGGAAAATGGGTCATTTTGGGTGGAATCTACCTCTTTCGTTGTGCTGTAATTTACTGTATCATGTTGAATCATATATTGTCTTGTATTGCATTATATTATACTAAGTTGGAATGTATTCTGTTACATAGCATGGCAATGATACCATGTCCTATTATAATACACTGCAATCTATTCTGTCGTCTCACGTTATATTGCATTATGAGGTATTATGCTATGCTTTATTACACAGCAGTGTATTGTACTGTATGGTAGTACATCGTAGGCTACAAAGAACACTGTGCAGTGGCGTAGGATCCAGGGTAATGAGGGAGCCTCTAGCAGAGCATGGAGCACTGGCCTCCTTTGAATCCCTGACTGAGCACCAGTCCTCCAGGCTGTTCCCCACAGCTCTAGCAGTACAGATCTCAAAGGCCAGGGAGCTTCCTGGGCAGATGGCCCCTGAAGAGAGCCCTTGTTCATTCCCACTCCCTGCACCGAGTGCCCCTGTTATGTTACCTTCCAGGCCAAGAGATACGGTGAATTACAAACTTGGGTGGAGTTAGGATAGAGGACACAACATCAAAAGAAAAATAATGCTGGGCATGAAAACAAGACAGTCCAAGTGTGAAGTTCCTTCATTCTAACAGGAAAAAGAGGAGACCTTAGGGGCCGGAGCAGTCACTGCAGGGACATGGGGGCCTCACATTGGGAGAAACAGCCCATCTGGCCATCCTTTTGCCTCCTTCTTTGGGAAAAAATCCCACTTTAATTATTGCTTTTTTTTTTTTTTGAGACAGGGTCTCACTGTGTAGTTCAGGCTGACCTTGAACTCACTATGTAACCCAGGCTGGCCTCAAACTCACAGCAATCCTCCTGCCTCAGCCTTCTGAGTGCTGGGATTACAGGTGTGCACCACCACGCCCAGCTTTTTGTTTTTTGACTATTGCTTTAACCTGCTGGGATGGCAGAGGAGAACAACTGGGCTCCATGTCCTCTATGACAGCAGTTGGAGGTGCCCCTCGGGACATCTGTCAGAAGCCTGCACCTCCACTTTAGGGACTGATCTACAGGAAGCCTAAGGGTGCAAGTTGTGCTTTGAAGCATCAGTCCCAGGAAATCAGGACCGGAGCCGTCCCGAGGTCCATTAGCAGAGTTGTGTTAAGTGAGTTGTGCTGTGACTGGGCCTCTAGGAGAGGGAGGGCAGCTCTGCAAGGCTGGCCGGTCCCCAGGGAGCTAGAACCAGCCAGCAAGAGCCAGCAACTCACCTGAGCTCAGAGCTGGTCTACCTGGGGCTCTTGGGACACTTTTACAAGTGACTGTTTCCATGAGGCTAGGAAATGTGTTCATAGATTCCTTCAGAATCCTCTCTATGGCTTGTCCTTAGAATCAGGTCTTATTGCTTCTTAAGCTCTGTGGTATGCCCGGTGAGGGGGCAGCCTTGGTGTATGTGGGTCTTGGGTAGCAGGACAGGGCACAAGCTCTTGTCCAGGGACAGCAACCCTCTACTGCCTGGCTGACCCTCCTCTTGCCTCCCTCTTTTGTGACTTCAGTGACAGCAAAGCCACTGTCCTGGTGACATTTTGGTGGGGGAGGTGTTACACAAGAGCTGGTTTTCCAAATGGCACAGAGAACACGAGTGGCCGCAAGCACCCCCCAACCCGGGGCGAGACTCACTGTTTTGGACGACCACCTCATGGGAGACACAGGCCTGCTCCGGGGCACGGCACTTGGCAGGCAGGCACTGGCTTGCGCTGCTGACCTTGAAGCACTGGAAGCAACTCAGGTTTGAGGCTGTGGGGACAGCAGGCATGGGACCCCAGCCCCAGTTCCCCCCTCTTTCTTCTCTGGGCTCCCACCCAGCCCTATTCCTCCCCCGGCCCCCAGGCCTTACCTGACATTGCCATCTTGCCTCCCTGGAGCTCCATGAATGCCAGGGACACCCACAGCACTAGCACCAGCATAAGCCCCTCTGTGTGTCCCCTTCCCTGAACCCTCCCTGGTCTATGCCATTCTGAGGCCCTGGGATCTGACGGAGCCTCCTCACCAAGGAATTGCAGCTGGGTGGGTCACCGTGGCCTCTCAGCCAGCCCTGCCTCTGCCCTGAGGTCTCCCCCCGTCCCCCACTGGTATATGCCATGGAACACAATGCCCAGATTGGTTCCTGGATCAGGGCCAGGATGGCTCAGGGAAGGACAGAATGGCCCTGAGGCCCTGGGAGGATGGGGATAAGAGGCTACCTTCCCTCAGGTGTGGCTGCAGTGGTCAGGGGCTTGAGGCCGAGGGGACATCTAAGGGGGCTGACAAAGGGGTCTGTTGGAGACGTGGGGGTTTGAGCAGCCAGGAACATGAAGGGCAGGGAAGGGGGAGAGGAAGGCTGTCAAAGGAGGAGAAGGAAGGAGAGAGGAGGACATGGCGAACACCTGAAATCAGGCCCCCTCCTGAGATGACCCTGAGGTTGAGGGTGGGGACAGCAGGCTCCCAGCTCAGAGGGGAGGAGGACGCTGCTGCAGAGACTCCAATAGGTGTCCAGGCCATGCAGAAGGGCTGTCCCTTGGGGAAGCCAAGTCTGAGGGACCTGAGCTGGGCCTTTGAAACCCAGGTCCTCAGACCACAGCCCCTGTCCAGGGGGCCCCTTTGGCCCCAGGCCAGTCTCCTGGCCAGTTGACTGTTCCTGTGATGGGACTCAGCCTGGTTGTCAGGGTGTTTAATGCCTTGAGGCCCCACAGGGTTTGGCTTTCTCGTCCCCTCCCTGTGTAGAGTGGAACACAGCGCTCACTGTTACGATTACGACAGCCCCTCCCCACCTGTCTTTGTAGTCATCTACAAATCCTTTCTTGTATTCTCCTCCTCCTCCTCCTCCTCCTCTTCCTCCTCCTCCTCCTCTTCCTCCTCCTCCTCCTCCTCCTCCTCCTTCTTCTTCTTCTTCTTTGGAGCCAAGTAAGCTGAACCAAATTCTCTCTGGGTCATTGGAACCAGCCAGCCTGGAGGTCACAGCCGGTGAGGATTCAAGGTGGAAGCTGCCTGGCAAGGGGGTCTCCTGAATGGCCTTTCTCCTCTTTGGAGGTGCCCACAACCCTCTGTGAACCTCTACACCTCATCAAGGGACCAACTTCACCAGGGTACCAGCATTCCTGCTGTCCCCAACCCAGGAATGGAATGCTGCCTTCATCTAGGGGTCACCAACCCAGCATCTCCCTCGAGTCTCTCCCAGGACCCTGGCTCCTCAGCTCGTCTCCCTCAGCTGCCAGGTGTGTCCACCTGGGGTCAGGGGCTGCATAGCTTTCACGCTGGATGTCAGGTTCGTACTTCCTTTCTCCTCTCTGCCCTCAAATTTGAACATTGTGGTAAGATGGTGGGGTGGAGACCTGGGATTTGCATTGGTAAACACAGCTCAGTTACTTGTCTTCAGGAGTCTTACAGGAGCTGAGCCCTAGACTATGAAAGGATAATCAGTACCTGTAAGGTAGCTGGGAAGTGCCCGTGCTCACCTTCCCTAGGGGCCTGGCTTCCCCGTGTGGGCTCCGTGAGTCTCTCACCCTTCAGCCTGCAGTTGTCCACCTGCTCCTCATACTGCCTGGTGTGGACCCACGGTGGCTGTGCCTTCAGATCCTGCCTGTCTAGCCGCAGCTCCCTCTGGTCCTTTTATCCCATGGTACTCCTGCCTTTTTGGTCACCCGGCCTCCCAACCCTAGTAGAGACGTGGACAGAAACAATCTATGGGATTTTTCTGGGGAAGTGGATCTTGGTGTGATGTCCAGAGGTGGCCTCTGGCTTATCTTGAGGTTGGCTTCATGATCTGCATCACTATGTTCTTGCTGTGGAATGCTAAGCTGAGTTTTAACATGAAAGGCCCCAGTGTTCTTGCTGAGCTTGTACAAATGTCCCTGTTTCCTTTTCACCTTGGCTGATAGGAAGCTCAGAGCCTAAACATTTGTCCCAGGCACATGTGTGGGGCCTTGCAGGTATTTTGATTCCCTCTTCTGGTTCTACTCTGATCATTTCTTATTTTCTTTCTTCCTGCCCTTGCTTTCTGGGCTTCTTTGAGTGTCTGGTTCTTAGGTATTCTGGTTCTTTAGTTCTTTGACTGTATATAGACTTGGTGACTCAGTCTCCACCAAACTCAAGTTCCTGGCCTTGCAGGAGGAGGGCTTGCCCAGTCCTGCTTCAGTCAGGTGACTCTGACCAGCTCACTCGGCTGGCACTGACAAGGTAGAGAGGTGCAAGGTGCAGGGCCCAGGCAGTAGTGGGACTTCGAGCACAGACCCCGCTCCTCCCACCATGAGCAGTTGATCCAGCACTCTTGTGTTTGAGGCTGACAGCTTATGTGACTGTGTTCTAGTTTTAATTCCAAGTTCAGTGACATCGGCATGCCTGAGTGTCTCCTTCAGGCCCTCAGCCCCCCTCATTCATTCTACAAACAGGCACACAGTGCACCAGGGGGACCTTCAGCACGACAGTCCAGCACTCTCCGTTTGTGCTCAGTGTCCAGATCGTGCCCATTTCCCCACTGGCACATTACCCATGCTAACATTATTCTCTGACCCAGGTCAGGGGAGATAAGAGAAACACAAATGATGTGGACATGTGTATTGTAACATGGAAAACCAGAATCTTGATACACTGTAGTTGAAGGAAGATGGAAATTAGAAAGGGATAAAATCAAGAACCTGACCATGAAAATCAGTCAGAGCTGTCCCTGAAGGGAATAGCCCCTGTGCTTGCATAGGGAAATATGGGAGGCCAATGGTTTTGAGTAGTTCAAATTTATTTTTGTTGGCAGCTTGGTAAGTAGGAGGGAGATGTTCCACAGATCAGGGCTGAAGGTAGCAGGGGAGATATGGCTGGGAGTCTGAAGGTGACAAACCAAGTGCCAGACTTTGGGACGTGGAAACCACAGTGTAAACACACCAGGAAGGCACGGGAGGAACAGTGATAGAACAGGAAACAGACACAGTCACAAGTGCCAAACCTGTTTCTTTTTTTTTTTTGGTACGGGGGATGGAACTGGGGTCCTTGCGCTTGCGCAGCAGCAGGTGAAACCACTGAGCTCAATCCCCGGCCCAAACCTGTTTCTTCAAAACCAAAATCAGACAAATTTCTGGCAAACTAAGGAAATGGAGTTCACGCATGAATCAAATGAATGAAAACGAGGGACAAAAGGGTAGATTTTAGAAAGGAGAAAGTCTTTCACTTCTGGTTGGCCTGTGGAAACAGTGTGAAACCTGCCTTCCAGTTGTGGCAATGAGAGCACAGAGTGCACATGCAGGTCCTCACTGCCTTCTAGTGCCCTGCAAAGGGCTGCTGTGAGTCCAGGGAAGCCTCAGGGAAGGGCAGATGCTTGCCTCACAGTGGACGGGGTGGGAACTGAGCCTGGGGACAGGTGCACAGGGCTGTCCCACAGCAGGGGCTCTGTTTGGGGAGAAAATGCCATCTCTTGATTATTTGGTACATAATTTCTGACACATTACCAAAATTATAATTCATATAGGAAAGTGTATTTTCAATCAGGAGAAAATCTGTTCAGTGGAAGCAGACACACAGATAGCCCAGATATTGGAATTAGCACACAGGTGCTTTATAATGCTGCTGAACTATATTGAGTAGAACAGAGCATGAGCTGGACAAAATGATGAAAGCAGAGAAATGAAAGATATAAGAGTAAGTGCTTATTTGGAACTAATTAGTACCTAAAATCAAGAACTTCCAAAATGGGCTTAACAGTGGACTAAACTCACAGTAGAAAAAAATTAATGAAGTTTAAGATAGATCAATAGAAATTACCCAAAATGAAGCACAGAGATGAAATTGAATGAGAGACCAGAAAGAATGGCTGCTAACAAGAAATCAACCAGATGAGTTCGATTCCCGGTATCAAAAAAGAAAAAGAAAAAAGAAATCAACCAGTAACAAATGCTGGGACTGTGAGGAAAAAGGAACCCTTCTCCACTGTTGGTGGGAGTGTAGACTGGTGCAACCACTGTGGAAATCAGTGTGGAGATTCCTCCAACTAAAACTGAGTTTCCTTTTGACCCAGCTGTTCCTCTTCTTGGTATCTTCCTGAAAGAATTAAAAGCATCCTATCACAGCAATATATGCACAGCCATGTTTATAGCAGCACAGTGTATAATAGCTAAATCTTGGAAACAGCCCAAATGCCCATCAACTGATGAGTGGATAAAGAAGATGTGGGATTTCCCCCCCCAAAATGGAGTACTACTTTGCCATAAAGAAGGATGAGCTTCAGACATTTATAGCTAAATGGATGGACCTTGAGAGCATACTCCTAAGTAAAATAAATTGGACACACACGTTTCAATACTGCATTGTTTCTTTTGTGTGAGAAACCTAAAGGGGAAATAAGGACTGAGATGTATAACGGATGCTGGGAAATGGGAAGAAGGTGTTCAAATGGGAGGGGAACAAGGGAGGAGGGAGGGAGAAAAGGAAGAGGCAAGAAAAAAAGTGAAAATAGAAGGAAAAAATGGAAACAAAGCTTTTGTACATAGGGAGAGGAGGAGAGCAGAATTGTGGAGGGAAATGGTCTAAAATAAATTTTATTTATTTATTAATTTGGTACCAGGGATCGAACTTAAACTAAAATTTATTTAAAAAACTGAAAGAGCAAGAGCAAGAAGGAAGAGTGAGAGTAAAGGAGGGAGGGAAGGAACGAGAGAGGGAGAGAGAAGGTGGATGGTGCTGGATCTGCAGTCTCTGACTCGGGGCTCCACCCATGCCCTTCTGAGGAGCTGCCAGACCTTCCTCTATGCAGCCCTGACTCAGCTCCAAAGCAGGCTGGGGTGGGGCTTGTTGAAGGCCAAGTGGAGCAGAGCCATCTCGCCACCTGGCCTGAGGTGTAGCAGGTGCACTTGAGGGCTGGAGCACCTCGAATGTCCTCACGGGCTTTGCAGGCACTCTCTCTTCGCTGCAGACTAAGACTACAGTAGAAGCTGCTTGGGCCATGGGGCTTCCAGGAAAGCTTTCTCATATATTTGTATTTTTTTTTACTGATAAAGTTTATTTCTTAGAACAGTGCTTCCAGAAAACTAAGCCAATACTATGAGAGTTCCTGTACATCCCTT